ATTTTTGTTATAATAAATGTATAACAATGCTTTCAATATCCAAAATGAATACAGGATGAGAAATAACTGGTAAAACAAATATTCAACAGAAAAGGTTAAATTTGGCGGGTCAGTGGGATAGAAATCATCACGAGCCCATTACTATTGCTAAAGAGAGAACTCAACATGACTGTGCCATAAATTATCACATTGCATCAACTCAAGCAAGACTCCATCAATGGTAGGATGTGTCGCTACTTTAGGAAACATTAAGGGGGAAAATGCTGCCACTGATGCTATTGATTGTAAGACTTTTCAAAAGTCAAAATGTGAAAATTTGTGCACCTTAGAATTGATGAAACACTGATAGGAAGACACTGGAAAGTGGTCATGAGTTAGATTGCAGAAGAGTTTGTTGAAAAACAAAATGTAGACAGTCTCCTTTTCCCACTGACTTCTAAGGGTGGATGGAGCTCTATTTCCCAGACCGGAGTGGGCACTAACGGAGGTTTGTTCATTAACTACCCATCTTCACTGGGGCAGGGGCCTCCTAGGACCACATCCTGCCACCTCTGCCAGCTCAAGTAGAAGCCTCCAAGCTCAGCTGTTGGCAATGCTCCAGGAGGAAGAAAGTTTAAAAAAGTGACAGCAACAGGAAGTCTATATTATAAATATTTATAATCAAATCTTAAAAATCAGGCAGATTCTGGATCTGAGAGTATCTGGGTAAAAGGGGATTCTAAGGGAGCTTCGAACATTTTTCTCTGCCCCTTTCTTAATCTTGCTAACTCTCCTCGCAACCTGCTCCACCCTGGAGATCTGCTTAGTTTCTCACATGTATGCAAAGAACTGGCTAATTGAAAACTACCTTCCCCTAAAATCCTTTTTCTAGCTTAGGTGTTATGATTTTAATAGACTTCCTTACCAGAATGAAAGCTGCATACAAAGTAAAATTTCAGATGTCAACGAAAAGAACTGCCACTGAAGTTGAAAACAAGGCGAGTCACAGTGTTTAAGCCTCTGCGGACAATCCACGTCATGTAGAAATAAACTTCAGGTCAATAAAAACAACAGCTGACCCTACGAAAAGAAACCATGGAGCTGCAGACAGGGCCAACCCACACATCAGATTTCCTGGAATGGTCCAGGTATTAAATATCCTCATTATAATGATGTATCCCGATTTGGGCTCGGAGAAAACAGGCTAAGTTATACCCAAAAATATTTTCAATATCCTACAGTAAAATGAAGAGTTGAACCATTCCAATTTGATTCTACGATTCTACAAATATAAGATGGGCATCTCCACAAAGATAAACAAAAGATTTAAAGCACACAAGAGGATTTTAAAATATATCCATGTAAAACATATAGCACTTTAAAATGACAGTGCTTATCAAGATGGACTATAGCTATCCTTCCGGGGGAGTTTTTAACAATGCGTGGTATTATGTCTTAAAGGATTCCCAGTATCACAAACAGAAAAGCTTACAGGGGACAGACAGGTAACAAGGTGGCTATAAAGATATAGAGAAGAGTGGGGCCTGTAAGGAAAGACAGCACAAACACACAGGGTTAGGGCATTTAAATTCAGTATTTTTAAGACACAATGTAGGATTTGTGGGCAGACTCTCTAAGTTTAGGCAGACTGTATTCACTCACTCACCAAGTATTGACTGAATGAATGTCCGCCATCTAAAATCCAAGGTTTTCCCATTTTACTGCTCTAAGGAATGTTTTATGGCAAAAGTAGGATGAAAGCATGACAATGTAAATAAATAAATAAATAAATAAAGATTAAGGCACATAAAAAATGAGAAGAACTCTGGTAAGAGACAGAGGAAGAAAAACAGAACTCAAAAAGAAAAAAATTTCTTTATAAATAAAACTAGAGTTTTAATTTGCATTAAATACAACAATATGCAGAAACACAGCTTAAAAAGTGCAAGTGTCTGGAACTATGACAATTTTGAAAATAACAATCTAACTTTTTATTAAACATTTGACCAAGGATGTGCTAGAAGATATGAAATGTCAGGTTATGTGAATTTATTTACATGCTTTTTGCTCTACATTTGGGCTTTCACGTAAAATTTCATAAAAGAAACACTTCATTAAAACAAGTTCAAATTTCACAACTACTAAGAAGAAAACTGGCAGAGGTGAACCCATCTCTCTTCTCCAGCAGGGCTACTGAATGGTAGGCAGTATCTTCTTCACCCAGTGTGTTTGGTGAGGAAGCCAACTCTGAGAAGTTAAGCGAGTTGTCAGGAGGGATGGTCTACGGGCAGAGTACTAAGATCTAGAGCCCTCGTTGCCTTGAAAGAAAATGAGGTAAATAAGTATCAAATACACGTTACAATTAGAAATAATAGTGAGTAATCAAGATGATCTGAGTTATTTCAAACAGCTGCTTAATTTCAGTAATATGGAGCATGGAGTTCTATATTGTTTGAAAGTAAAATCTTTTATTCAAGTTCTAATAAACCAGCTTGATATATTATTTCATGTTCTGTTAAATCCTGGAAAAACTAAGAAAGGGCTCCTATTACATGGCACCCGTGTAAATAACATTACAAAAAGCATAAACTCAGAAAATGAGGAACTTAAGCATAGTATTTATAAACAAGTTAACTGCTGATTACACTCTACGGGCAGGTTCAGAATATTTTGTGAGCTTTAAAACAATCGCACTGCCTTTATTTTACAATATCATGTAATTCATGGTTTTGCCAATTTTGGTTGGTCTTCACTATAGTTAGGTCAAATGACTGACATTTCCATTGACTTTTAAAGAGTCATTCTACTAAAAGTCCAGAAATAATTGCTCTTCCTTCTTGACTGACCCTTTTATTCTTATAAATTCCTTATTTTTGTAATGCCTCACTGTAACTGGGAATTCAGGGTAGAGCTCATCACAGAGCCACCCGGGCCCCATTAAAAAGTTTTGTGTGCCCGGTGCCAGGAAGCTCTTTTTACGAAAACTTTCACCGGCCACACAAGCCTGGGACACAGCAGACTTGAATTATCCAAGGCTGTGCTTTACTTAAAAAGCTTTTACTATATTAATAGTAATTAATATTAATAGTAATTTTACTTAAAAAGCTTTGACCATAGAGGTGACACGATGGGTTTCTAGCAACATTTCGGCTTTCTTAAGTGTTAAGAAACATTTCAGTGTTTCTTAACTCTTAAAGCGGTGAGAATATGAATTCTTTAATTGGTGAGAACTGTTTTCAACAGCGGGAACTGTTTACAACAGCGGGCTTGAAACGACTTGAATGTGGAAACCCATTTTTTACATACCTTAGTTTACACTGCGTCCTCTGAAGGTCTAGCTATCTCAAGCGCAACATGTTCTTCCTAGGCATGAAAGGGTTTACAATTACATAAAATTTTAAATTCTAGTGAATCAGTCTCAACCAAGGATTCTCAACCTTTCTGAAGTGACAAGCGTTAAAAGACCATCTAGTGTGGGCTCACTGTTACATATAAATTGGCATCATCATGATCTATGCTTAAAATTCTGAAGTAGGGAAGGGTAAGGGAACACCACAACCTGAAAATTAAAAATGCAATCATTTTGGAGAGCCCACCCACCCCCACCCCTACCCCAAGCAAAAAAACCTCCCCGCCTATTTCTTCCCTTTGCCAATTGTCAGCGTAAGTCTAGAAGAGCACGTGGGGGACTAACGGGGCTAGATATTCAATCTCAGGTGTTTGCAGACATTTTTTATCACGCTTTCCCTGTTACCCGCTTATTCCCTCAATGTCACTTATCCATCAAGTGAAGGGGAACAGTGCCCTCTAGTTGTCTCTTTTCCCAGTCATTACGTTGATTTACTTGTTAGCCAGGAATTCAGGATTTTTAAACTCGGGGATACTTCTAAATAGGCTGAGAATTCCTGGTATTACCAAAAATTATGCAGTCTTAAAGCTGTCTAAATTTTGTGGTGTAGCTATTAGAATGAAGGATTTCATTTCATTCAAAAATGTTTTCTAATGGTTAGTACTGGTGAGAAAAAAGATGATTACAAATATCTTTTACTGTAGTCCTGTAACATGCAAGCGATCAAGAGAGTTCTCAATTTAAGATGAGAATTTTAGCAAAGAAGTTTCTAAAATTATGTGGCTAGGCAATTAAAATTATTCTGCTACATAAAACTCACGTAAGTAAAATATGACACAAACAAATTTTCCTGTCAACAATGAAAATGTGAGTTTAGTTTGGAAGGCTTGAGCTTCCCAGAACGTGAACGCTGATCTTCAAACACTCAGCACTGTGAACGCCGTACCAGCTGAAATATCAATGGCTTCGTTCCATTTCCAGTTTCTCCTGCAGAAGGGTACTTCCCACGTCCAAGGTGAACGGATCTGGCTAATATTATGCTACCTGAACGGAACTACCTGTGGCTTAAAGGTAAAATGGTTTATAAAATACGGTAAAACTACATGATGCCCAATTTAAAGGACCAGCAAAGTTAGAGCACCGATTTTGCAACCAGCTTAAAGTGGAGTTTTGCATATGTGAGAACCAGACTGAGCTATGTATTATAGACACATAGACACACACACACACACACACACACACACACACACACACACACACACACTCAAAGGGATGGCGGTGTGACTCAATAACCCATCTGGTTTGTCAATTTCTGTAATAGTATGAAAAAGCAAACTTTTCCAGAATGCCCATGTAATATGACTGATTACGGCATCTGGATAACCTAACTTCTTGTTGCTACAGAAATGTGTGCATGGCACGGAGTGCCGCTGCTGGGTGCTCATGCTCCCTAAAGCACCCCTCAGGCCCTGGGACCTGAGGGCCAAGCTCTGTCAGAGTGGCTAGCAGGGGCAGCTCAGGACACCTGTGCCCACTGCATGACTGCTACGTGAACCTGAATGTCTTTTGCAAACCTTGGAGAATGAAAAAAACAAACACGCAAATTACTTTTTTACTTTTAATCAAAATGTGAATCATTATCACTGTAATGAATAAAAATTCAGAGTCAGAATAGCATGCAGATTTTTTATTTTTTTCTAAATCTATTTGTACACTTAATACTCTAGTAATAACTTCACAACTGGTATAAATATACTACAGTGATATTAAGCTGCATCTACTCACCTGAAAAGGAACAAAATAATTGCCTCTGAAATAGTTACCAATTATACAACATTGCAAACTAAAAACACTATAAATACAAAATGTTAACATTTCAATATATAATGTTAATGACATCCTGTCTTTTTTTAGTTGGCTAAAACATTTGTTAACATCATGCACAATAAACACTTCATGAAAATGTTAGATTACACTCAAACATCAAGGCAACAAACCCAAAAGAGCAACTATTTAGTGCAATGACTGGTCAAGTAAATAATTTATTCAACCTATTAATAAAAATCCATTCAGTGAAAAACATCTCAGATGTAACACTACACTTAGGTAATTACACATCTACAGTCTCACCGCCTACAGTCTTAACTGTGACTGACGATATACTGCCAGAATTAATTCTACATAAAGAAGCTATGTTAAAATGGCAAAAAATTTCAACGCATGATGACAGGGTACATTTCTAGTCCACAGAATACTTAAATATGATCATTCTCTTAACTCTGCTAACAATAAATGGAAAGTCACACCAGCTTTACCTTCTTTTTACCCTTGCTTTGTTACGTATTTTTTAAACGTTTATTTTTAAAGTATTCCCTTTCTTATGATCCTCCCCCAGAATTAACATGCTGATTTAGGAATAAATAAAGTAGATAAACTCCACCCTGATAGGCAATGATTAGGCAATTACCTAATTAAATTTCCTTGTCATTTGTCAATTGTCAAACTGACTTTCTGATGGAATTTCCTCATTCTCTCATTCCATAAATATTTATTAGTGCCTATTACTACCCATGTTTTCCTTGATTCTCCAGAGAAAGAATTCTTGTTTTCTCCCCTCATTGCTAGGCTAAGAAAAGTTGGGCACACAATTTAAAAGTTGCAGTGTAGGCCGGCGTGGGTCCCCAGGTGGGTTGACGGCGCTTGACGCCGGGTCTGCTGGGGGTTTGGCAAGAAGCGCATCCGTGTCACAGAGAGGCTGCTGTCCCCTCCCCGCAGGCCATTATCCTAGAGCTCATAATGCCCCAGTTACTGGGGTGACACTTTGCGCACCTTTGACTCGCTTTCCTACCAGTTTCAAAGCCCTCTTTATCATATATTTTCTACTTAAAAATTTAAAACCCTTCGAGAAGCAATTGTCTATTATATGTAGAACACTGGTTCTGTTTACCGTTAGTCTCTGGGCTACTCCATAACCTGTCAATTCTTTCTTATCTTTTACCTCTTAAGAACAAAATTTGCTGCTGGTTCCTCTCACACCATGTCTTCCCTCAGATATTTCATGACAGATGTTCTACAAAAGGGGTCTCAAGGTTTTTATTTTCTTTGACAAATTAAGCGCCTTATATTTAATGAAATGTTTCTGACCTATCTTTATACTCAGATCTTGTCTCAAAAATGTTCATGAGGTTATGTGCCAACGAAAGGGAAAACAAGAAGTTATTCTAATTAAAGGTTCTAATTACAGACAGTGGAGACTGACTGATGAACCACCCTTTCTAATAGCCTCTTCTGTTGTATAGAAGGTGTCTCTTTTCCCAAAGCCCTTCTCATCCATTAATTACTTGTGAATGAAATGCAAAGATGATGTGCATGGATGGATTCACCACAAAACTCACGTCAATTTTGTCATAGGACACAATGATACTATTCTACTTTTGTGTGTTTTTCTTAAAGAATGCTTTCTCTTTCTTCTCCAAAGCCTGTACTGTCAGAAGAGGCGACTGCGTGGAGCTCTGAAGAATCCTTCGAGAGCCTGGTGTAACTTGAACGCTGGCTTCGCTTATGGGTCATGCCTTTTAGGTTTTCATTTTGAATAGCAGTTGAGTTGGAACTGGAAGCAGGCCTCAGAATGACTTGGGCCGTCTCTCTAATTCCCTCCATTTCATCAAAATTCTGGTTGGCTCTATTAGCCGGAGCACTGTTGTTGTTCAGTGTCACAGTGCTGGGTGTCCGGTTCAGGTTGTAGGCTTTCTGGCATGCGGGCCAGCTCTCTTCAGGGCTGCTGGCCATCAGGCTGCACTCAGAAGGGCTCTTCTTGTCTTCTGAACAAATGGACATTCGAGCTATAATTGGATCTTGCAGGCCGCTCAAGCTATGTGGCACTCCCCGTTTGCCACTATGGCTGTCATCTTCGAGCTCAATGAGATTTGCTTTTTCAAGCTGGGAGTCGTCAGCGCCTTCGTTGTGAAGAGAGTGGTTGGGAGAACTTTCGCTGGATCTCACTCCTGAATCGGAGGAGTCCTTTTTGTCCAGGAGGGCGTCTGACAAGTACTCCTTTGCTTTAATGAAGGTTCTGATTGGCTCGGCACTGTGTTCTGGGGACTTGGACGCTCTCTCTGCTTTCCCTTCAGCTTTTCTGTCTTTGTCATCTCTGAGCAGTGGAGTATTATCTGATTCTTCGGTTCCAGACTCATCTTCATCGCTTGGAAGTTTCTGATAGCGCAGTCCACCCCCCTTCAGCTTCAAGTCTGTCTGGAAGAGACTTGACCTTTCCGAGGGTTTCTTGCCTGGGAGGAGCTTACTGCCTGACTGGTCAGACTTTTCATCTTCTTCGGTGATAGGGTCCAGGGGGGAGGCATCGTTAGTGGAAACTCCTGATGAGGAGTAATCGATAACATCTGCCCTCTTCATTACAAATGACTTCCTTCCATCATCTTGCTTTGGTTCACTATCCTTCCCTTTTTCTGCTTCTAGACTAGAATGAATGGAGCCCCCTGACGAACTCTGACCCATATAATATGTGCTGTGTGGAGAAGACCGGCCACTAATTGTTGCAGAGCCTGTACCTCCTTCTAACTGCGACATCTGAGCAATATATTCTCTATAGGCATCTCTATACTCAGCCTGCACCTTATCAGTAAGCTTTGAAATTTCAATACTGGAATCCTGGGAATTGAGACTCGAAAGACTTGGGGTTCTGCGAGTTTGTGACTGTAAAGACAGGAAAAAAAAATTAAGAATTAAACTAAGCAAAAAAAAAAAAAGGCATACATAATAAGTATCAGCTTAGGAAATATATACCGGGGGTGTCAAAAAAACATACAAGTGGACACTTTGGTCAACGTTACTCAAGCAGTAGTTCACCGTAATCAGAAGTGTCTGGATGCTGATGGTAACCACTTTGAGCACTTCTTGTAATTGCAGAAGTCAAATGTGACTTGTATTCCTCTTTTGTTATCAGTATATATGAGTATTACAATTTTAATATAGTTTTCCTTTCTTAAAATGTGTATACACTTTTTTGGCACCCTCTGTATATACACTAATAATTTTTAAAGTCCTTGACATACCAAATTCTTTTAAAAGAATTCTACATAACAGTTTAATAAAAGCTGTGAACTTATGGATCATTTTACTCTTAACTGAAAGCCTTATACATTTTAATAAAGTTAGTTTAATATTAAAAGTATAATTAAAGATTGTAAAACAAATAATCTTAGCACTTGTTTTTATAACTTCAAACTTTTAATTTTAAGGCAAAAGTCACCTTTATCAATACAATATAAAAATTCCTCTTAGAAAAGAAAGATTAGAGTTAACATATATCTCAAAAATAAAATACTCATGTCTTCAATGTATGTTCAACAGAATCTCAACTTGTAAGACATGAAGTTTCTGTCAGGTTTCAATTCAAAGCAAGAAAATATACTCAAAATTCCAAAAATTAAAATAAAAAATGTAAAAGGAGTTAGAGTTCAATAGAAAAGATAAATACAGGATCCAAATGAACAGATGAAATATTTTCAAAAGATTGATTTCCAATGTGAAGTTTTAGGATTAGCATTGCTTTAGATCCCAAAAAAAGCTATCAAGTGAGTAGAAAGTACAGATTAATGAAAAGAGAAGGGAAATCGGAGAAAAACAATCAAGGAAGGTGAAGGACAAGAGCAAAGGCTAAAACGAAGAGACAGAAATGAGGCCGAGTCTTCCCTCCACTGGGAGAAAATGACCCAGCCCCACAAGGCCCCCTGGGGCCAGAGTCAGGCTGTCAGCAGCGCCACCTCTGCTCTCAAACGCAGTGCGGACACTTCTGGGGGACATCCATGAGGTCTGGACTATTTCCAGAGAACATGAAGACTCATTTGCCTTTCCACCCTCGTTCTCACACAGGGAGGGTCCCCAGAGGCTCCACCACGGGCGACCTCACAGCTTTAATGCAGAAGCAGACATGGGAATCTAGTTGTCTTCTAGTAAGTCAGGCATTAAAGAGGTTTGCAAAACAATGTCATTTTCACTAAATTTTGTTTTGTTTTGGACAATATTGTCATTTTTCATAAAAATGTTAACATGTAATTTATTTTTAAATTAATTAATTAATTAATTAATTAATTAATGTTCTTTAAGTTTCTCAGTTTTTATTTCTAATACAGTAAATACTAACAGATAAAACTTACATGAACAAAAGCCCTTTGGGGTCTTCAATAATTTTTAAGAGTATAAAAGGACCCTGAGATTTTCTTAAAAAAAAAAAAAAACAGTTTCAGAACTGCTGCATTAACGGGAAGGCTGTAAGTTTTCAGGTCATGGTAGGAAACATCAAGTATGGAAAAGCAGAAGATGAGGATTTCTTGAGAAATGTTAAAAAGAATCCCAGGGGAAGGAAAGGAACTACTGTTGTTCAAACATGGAGACAAAAGGCCCAAATGTGGCCTTGTCACATTGCACAACAAGGGAATTATTTTCTCTTAGTCAATAACCAGTAATAAAATGGTCTTCCAACTTAAATAAGGTAGATAGTATGTAGAAAAAGATAGTAACAATGAAAAAAATATTTTTACTGCCAAACTAAACACGCTTAAAAATGGCAGACCTACCAGGTACTGTTTTCCCTAAATATTGCTCCCTTTTATCAGAGCTTCTTTGTAGCTCCTTACTTTTTTCCTCCCTCATCTTCTCTTTTTCTTTATCCTGCTCTGTTTTTATCTTAGTTTATTTTTCTTCTTTCTTCTCCCCTTACTCCTTCTCACATGTCTCTCATTTTTGTTTTTCTTCCCAATCCTCTCCTGTTCCCCTTCTTCTAAGAACACCCAAAGGAAGAACTCACCCGTATCTAACATCAGGTCATAAAAGGAAAACAAATCTCCACAAACAGCATCTACGTGCTGAACAACCAAATTATGGTGCTCAAAGGGTTACTACATGGCAATTTTCTGAGAAAGATACACGCTAGCCAATGATGAACAAGTTGAACAGGAAAACAGCAAGTGGAGTGTGAACTCTGCTAACCATCCAAAGGGAAGCAGCCCAGTTCCCATGACTCTCCACGCCATTCCCGTATTTCATGGTTTTCACAGTTCGTATCAATTTCTGAAGTAATCTCATTTTGTCCTTATTTTACAGATTATCGTCTCCAGAAGGACACAGCCCCCTGAGAACAGGGAGTCCTGCGTCTTGCTCACCTAGGTACTCACTCACTGAGCAGTTTGTGAATGTGACGATATCAATGCACCAACAGAATTTCGGTGAATTAAATATTGCCGCTACTCGTCTGCAGTATGAAAAATGACATTTAATAAATACCTGCCAACTCAGGTTACTGTGACGTGGGGCGCCTTCATCTAGACCAAGTGCATTCAGTTCTTCGAAGCTGAAGTTGAGCGTGTAGGGAGTCTGACCGGAAAGCTCGGTGTGGGGCAGTTCGCTGTGTGCAGGTCGACGAGCAGGTTCACAAAGAGGGCCGGGGCCGCTGTTGTTTTCACTGAGCGCACGTGGGTCTTCAGGGACCACTTGGGTTTCTGCGTTTCTCATTTCTAGTACCTTCAGAGAGGAAAAAAATAGCATTTATATCCACACTGACAAGTCCCATTTTAGAAGCTTTAGAAATTATTTTAAAAATAAAACATCATAAAGTTATTATATTTAAAATGAGAAAACACACTTCCAGTAAATGAATTTCTAATGAATTTATACCATATATGCTTATCTTCCATTTGAATTAAAACTAAAAGAATGGCAATAATCATCATGTGTATATTATACTCTAATCTGACCGTGATGTTATTACTTGAGTTTCAAATTGCACTTGAGAAGAATACAGAACGCAAATGTGTGTCAAAGAAAGCCCGCGCCGGCAGCAGGTGAAGCAGGACAAGCCGATTTCACCCAGGGACTGCAGCAATAGGGAAAAAGAGAACTCAGGGTAGAACCGGGCTCAACTCCAAAAGCGGCAAGGGCAAGTGGGTGCTTACAAAAGGGCCGTGGGGGTCGGTGGATGGACAATTGCTAAGAGGAAACATCAGGGCAGGGAGGGTCCTGACTGAGCCTCCGGGAGGGGATTCTTGCTGAAGGCAGGCCCAGCAGTCAGGTATCACCTGGGGGGTGGAGTGGGTGGGCAACTGGACCAGATGCCGAGGGAGGTTAGACATGGAGTCAGAGCTCTTTATAAAGTGACTGCACAGGATTCCTGCTAAACCTGGACAACGTGGACCTGACAAGGACAGACATCAAGGCCAAGGCGCAGAGGCTTAGGGGAGCCTGACTGAGGCAGGTCAACAACACAGAGTCTTTGCCAATGAAAGCAGAAGGAGTTGGCGGTGGCCTCTTTCCCAAATTTCCAAGTGACATGTCCAAAGGGCAAAGGTTGCCAAGTGCCGCTGTGTACATTCTTCTCAACAGAATATACAAGGGTTGTGCAGAAGCGTGAAATGCAGTGTTTACTTTTTCTTTTACTATAGAAAAATATCAGTTTGGACCAGCACTTACTGGCACGTTTTTATAGCATGTTGTAAATAGTTTGGTCAATATAAAATATCTTACTGTGCTTCTAAACAGATGCCAGTCTCCAAAGTTCATATTCATCTCTTTCTTCAGCTCATCAATGTTACACTGAGCTAACACACGGCCATTTATGTTTGCCTGAATCAACAGAAAGACAGAAGAAATATGACATATTCTGTATTACTAGTGATTAAAAAGTACATTTATTTCTGTAATATTGAGAAAGTCACTAGAGATGAGACAACAATGACCTAAAAAAGGTTATCCCGTTTAGTAATATAATGAACACGCTGCATTTGAACAATATAAGCTGCTCCACATTTTCCCAAGTATCTTAATCACTCAAGTAATAAAACAAACCATTCTTCAGGGGCCCAAGACTAACTCTCCCGACTGTTTCCAGAACTACTTACCCTGCCATGAGTAATAACACAACTGTTAGTTTTTCTCCGCTAATCTTGTAAAATATGAACAAGAATGCAAGCTGTTGGGAGGTGACAGTGACATCTGTCATTGTGTCAGCCTCTGACAGAGTTCTAAATGATATCAGCAACCTTGTTTATCAGTGTAGTGGATAACTTCAGCCAGAAAAAATGTCCACCTACTAATTTTCCAGTCTATTAAATTCACCAAAAGTGACTGTATCCCTATTAGGTCTCTGTAATTCTAATGTCCCCCAAATAAGAAACGATGAAGTTTTCTTTATTAATAGATAGCTTACTGATTTTATGCAACACAAAACTTGACTTTACTAATTGTGGTTAAAATTATGGAATACCTGCATTTAAAACTGGTAGAACATTCAGTTTCCCAGTTCACTCGGCAGAAAAGAGTGCACAGAGCAAGCCCTTGACAGAGGTCCTGCTGTAGAAACGGAGGCAAGTGTGCGGCACTTCAGAAACCAGCTGCTACGACAGGCTTGAAAAAGCCAAGGTCTGGGGGTGAAGGGCTGAGTGGGGAGTAACCCTCTGTCCTGATGCCACCCATGTATCACCACAGGAGTCATGCTGGAGACCTCACTGTGTCCTGACACTAAGAAGCTGCCTGAGGCAGGCAGGTGTGCACCTCGGAAAGGCAGTGCTTGAGGCTTCTGCAAACAGGGATTAGCAAGAACCAGCTCTGTAAGGAAACGGACAGTATCCGCAACCGTTTTGATTAAACAGAGGGTGAGGTTAGTAAAACTGTATCTACATGTGCTCATGATTCTTTAAAAAACGTTTTAGATGCCATTCTTTAAAGTATCCAAACATTAGAGGCTTATGATTAATGTTCCACCTCATGACATTTCTCTAATACAAAAAGTGTAACTTAGTGGAAATGTCCAGTGTAACTGGGACTCAGCCTTGTTATGGGAAGCGTCCTCACTGTCCAACTGCGTGGTAGCTACTAGAATCGCAAGAATAAGACCTAGGAAGAAATAAACTTCTTCCAATGTGTTATCCTCACAAACTTAAACCTGTGAGGTTTCATCAAATGGGACATGATCCTAAGTCCTGTAAGACACGAAAGCAAGAATTTGGGGAAAGTGAAGCACGTGTGATTTACTTTGATAATTATTAAATCACAAATAAATATTACAATTAAAGGAAATGTAGCAAAAAAGGCCTCCAGCTGTTCTATGCTGCGTGTTAGGAAGGAAGAGTTCTTGTTTTTCTAGATGTGAAATCCCACAGCGCTTCGTATTCCTCAAGGCATGTTTTACTTTTATTAGGTCATTTAAAAAATAACATCATCACAGAGCTACTTTATTTTATTTTATCTACTTATAAACTAAGAGGTCATAGGGCAATGTAGGATACAAAATAGAGGATCATGTTTCCATGTAGAGCTTCCCCGTTTCAACAGAGAACACGCGCTGAGAAGCTAAGCACACAGCGCTCACAGTGCAGAGCCATCTCCGCACCGTCGGCTGCACCCTGAGTTGGCAGGTAGCATGCACATCACCTTTCTGATGGTAGCACAGTACTGAGGCAGCATGCTCTGCTCCAGCCCTTCTATTTGTTTCAGCTTCTCGCACACTGCGTCCACATTCATTGAATTTAGTGATATTGTTCCTGAGGCGGGGCCTGATCCCTAGAAAGGTTATAGAAAAATACATGTATGAATAGCATGTAATGTCAGCTATAAGCAGTCATGTGACAGAGACATGCATGAAGTTACACTATGAAGTACCCTGATTCACAATAAAGTTTCAAACTACAAAACAAAGGATGTGTGTCATATGTGGCAATGTCGTTAGGGAATAGCTTTATCTGCCTGTTATGCCTTAAGGAGCAGCTTTTATTATAGCAGATGCAGCCTGACCGAAACCACATTTCTAGCACAGAACATTCCATAAACCAAGCCTAGGATAACTTCTTAAATGTTTACAGTCTAACTGCAAGCAAGGAGGGCACAGGCCTTAATAACAGAAGGACAGGGGTTTTAAAAAGGAACAAAGGGGGAACATTACTGATGCCTACATGTAAAAATACAAAAGGTAAATCTATGAGATCATTTTAAAAGTGTCTAAATGGCTTTAAATGTTTCTGCAGAATAAAACAGTCTCCGACAGCTGAAGTTTTCAGATCTTGCGGGCCCTCAAGCTCCCCTTAAGAATTTATGCAATAATCACATAAATAGAAAACAACAGGATTGGTCTTAACACATAAATAAGTAGATACAACCCACTATAATTTGGTCTCATTTAAAAGAAATGTCAAAATACTAAATAATTCTAGTATTTACTTAGAAGAAAATCATTTTCTGAAATGTGGTGACATAGTAAAGAAGTATCTGCCTGTGGTCAATTATGTAAGAATCTCCTCAATTATAGATGAGGTCTTGAGGGGTTAAGTTTTGATCTCAAGGTTGCAGAATAAATAGCTAGTTAGTAGCATATTTGGAGCAGAACCCTAACATATTGGGTCTTACAACTTCCTATTTTCTTGCTCCAACTGTCTATTTTTTGAAGAGTTGACAGAAACTATAACTACAACAAAGAGTGAAATCATGCAGTGCCAGTGCTTTTCCTTCTGACTTATTTCACTTAGCCTAATACTCTCAAGATCCATCCATGTTGTCGCAAATGCTAATATTTCATTTTTTATGGCTAAGTAGTCTGTTGTACGAGTATATATGTAGCATTTCTTTATCCATTCATCCACCGAAGGACACTTAGGCTGTCTCCATGGCTTGGCTATTGTAAATAATGCTGCAATGCACATAATACACATATATCTTTACAAATAAGTTTTCAAAAATTTCAAGTAGATACCCAGAAGAGGGATTGCTGGTTCACATGGTACTTTTGTTCTTACTTTTTTGAGGAACCCTCGTGCTGTTTTCTATAGTGGCTGCACCAATTTACAGTCCCACCAGCAGTCTATGAGGGTTTCCTTTCCTTCACATCTTCTCCAACAGTTATTTCTTGTCTTCTTGATAACAGCCATTTTAAGATGTGTGAGGTGGTATCTCATTGTGGTTTTGACTTGCATTTCCCCTACAATTAGTGATGTTGAACATCTTTGCATATGTCTGTTGGCCATCTGTATGTCTTCCTTGGAAAAGTATCTATTCAGGTCCTCTATTTTTTAAATGGATTGTTTTTGTTGTAGTTGAGTTGTATGAATTCTTTATATATTTTTTATATTAGCCCCTTATCAGAGGTATCGTTTGCAAAAATCTTCTCCCATTCGGTTGGTTGCCTTTTTTTGCTTTGTTGATGGTTTTTGTTTTGTTGATGTTTTTGCCATGCAGAAGCTTTGTAGTTTGAAGTACTCCATTCATTTATTTTATCTTTTACTTCCCTTGCCTTTGGGAAGTTCACAAAAACCCCTCTAAGATGAAGGTCCTTAAGTTTAGCATCTACATTTTCTTCTATTATTTTGTTTCAGGTCTTACATTTAAGTTTTTAATTTTTGTGTATGGTGTCAGATAGCAGTCAGGTTTCATTCTTTTGCATGTGGCTTTCCAGTTTTCCCAGCACCATTTATTGACGAGATTTTCCTTTCTCCAGTGTATGTTTTTGGCCTCTTTGTCAAAAATACATGTGTGGGTTTATTTCTGGACTCTCAATTCTGTTCCATTTGTCCGTGTGTCTGTTTTTCTGCCAGTATCATACTGTTTTAATTACTGTAGCTTTGTAGTATAGTTTGAAGTCAAGGTGTCTTTTTTCTTAGGATTTCTTTGGTTATTCAGGGTCTTTTGTGGTTCCATACAAGTTTGAGGGTTTTTTGTTCTATTTCTGTGGAAAACACCAATGGGGCTTTGATGGGCTTTGCATTAAATCTGTACATTGCTTTAGGTAATATGGCCACTTTAACAATGTTAATTCTTTCAATCCATGAACACAGGATGTCTTTCTTTCTTTGTGTCTTCTTCAGTTTCTTTCAACAACATCTGGTACTCAGTGTGCAGATCCTTCACTTCCTTTAAGTTTACTCTTCAGTACCGTTTTTGCTGCAATTCTAAATGGAATTGTTTTCTTCATTTCTCTCTGATATTTCACTGTTAGTATATACAAATATAATGGATTTTTATATATTGATTTTGTATCTTGCAACTTTACTGTATTTATTGTTTCTAACAGTCTTTTGGCAGAGTTTTCAGGGTTTTCTACACATAGAATCATCTATGAATAGTGAGAGTCTTACTTCTTCATTCCCAATTTGGATGCATTTTATTTCTTTTTCTTACCTGATTGCTCTGGCTAGAACTTCCAGTGCTGTGTTGAATAACAGTGGTGAGAGTGGGCATCCTTGTCTAGTTCCTGTCGTAGAAGAAAAGCTTTCAGTTTTTCACCATTGAGTATGATATTCGCTGAGAGTTTTTCATATACGGCCTTTATTACGTTTAGGTACTTCTATACCGATTTTGAGTGTTTTAATCATAAATGGATGTTGCATCTTGTCAAACGTTTGTCTGCAGCTATTGATATGATCATATAATTTTAATCTTTTCTTTTATTACTGTGGTGTATCACAGTGATCGATATGCATATGTGAGCCATCCTTGCATCCCTGGAATGAACCCCACTTGATTGTTGATGTGTGATCCTTCTAATATATTGTTCTTGGCTTGTGGTTTCTGTTTCAATATTTTGGGTATTTCATTCCACTCTCTCCTGGCTTGTAAGGTTTCTGCTGAAAAATCTGATGGTAATCTAACGGGGTTTCCTTTGTAGGTTACAGTCTTTTATTCCCTGGCTGCCTTGAGAATTCTTTGTCAATAACTTTTGATAGTTTTACTATAATGTTTCTTGGAGGAGGTGTTCTTGTGTTAAGATAATTAACTACTTGAATTCGAGGATCCAGCTCTTCCTATATATTTGGGAAGTTCTCATCAATTATTTCTTTGAGTAGACTCTATTCCTTCCTCTCTCTCTCCTCCTCTGGGATACCCAGTATACTTATGTTGCTCTAATGGAGTCAGATAGCTCTTGTAGAGTTCGTTCATTTTTTAAATTCCTAGTTCGCATTCTTCTTCCACATGAATCAATTCTAGATTTTTATCTTCGAGCTCACTAATTATCTCTGGTCTGCTCTATTTCCAATACTCTCTAATGTATTATTCATCTCATTTATTGAGTTCTTCAGCTCCAGAATTTCTTTGGTTCTTTTTTATAGTTATTATATTTTTGGTAAAGTACTCCTTTTGTTCATTGAGCTTTCATTCCTGAGCTCATTGGACTGCCTTTCTGAGTTTTGTTGTATCTCACTGAGTTTTTCACAACCATGATCTTGAATTCTCTGTCATTTAGATCAGTCTTCCATGTCTTTGAGTTTGGTTCTGGAGACTTCATTTTCTTCCTGAGTTACCGTGTTACCTTGGTTATTCTTGGTAATTGGATTGCTTCTCTGCCTGAGCATCTCAGGTAGTGAACTTTGCTTTGTTAGGTTTTGCTTTTAACAATTTGGTAGGTTGATAAGTAGAAGTCTTTCTTTGTTTTCCAGTAGATGGTGCTATAATGCAAGTTTTTGTTTCCGCTTACCTGTACTACAGGCACATCCGGGATCTGGGATCTTGGTGGTGCAGTGTTGTCTAGGCTGTGAAAGACATCCCGTATTCCTCAAGGTGGTGGATGTCCCCTCTGTGTGGATCCAGACTGCCTTGGCCTCAGGGCATGACACCCATGCTGGGATGTGGCAGCCAGTGGGGCTCCAGGCCTGTGACTTCCTCCTTGTAACGAGTGGCTGCCAGACACACTGTGCTATCGAGGTGTCTTGGCTGCTTCTTCCAGGTTCTGCCTCTACTGGATTCCACCATGACAGATGGTTGGGTGGGCAAGGGGAGGCAGGTTCGTGAGTCTTTGGCTTTGCCTCCTTGCTAATAATGGTTGTCGCTAGTCCGCAGCTGCCACACTGCTGGTCCGTGTCTCTGCCCCGGTCACCGGGTTTAGACAAAGTGGGAGCTGGCTACTCAGGCAGAAATGTTGTTTCTGTCCTGCCCCACCCCCCCACCTTGTGAGGGCTGCAGCCTGACTCCTCCCCAACTACCACGCCAGCTGGGGCTGCAGCAGATGCCCCGGATGCTAGACTGCATCTGCAGCCACGTCTCTATCCACCTCCCCTGCTTGTTCTGACACGCCCACCTTCAGAGGTACTGATGCTCCGATTTCTCAGACGTGTTTCTACATTGAGCAGAGGATCCTTTGTTGGATTATAGTTGTCCGATTTGTTGTAACTTTAGGGGAGATACAAAGGGATCTTCTCACTCTGCCATGATGCGGATATTACCTCATTCTAGGAATTTTTAATAGCTATACTTGTTTTATCTTTTTTTTCTTTTTAAACTGCTTTATAATCGCATCCCATACAATTCTCCCATTTAAAGTATACAATTCAATGATTTTTTATATATTTACACAGTTGTGAAACTGTGAAACCATCATCACAATCAATTTTAGGACATTTTAATATCCCTAAAAAGAAATCTCTGCCCCTTAGCAGTCATTCTCCGTCTCCTCCAACCTCACTCCCAGCCCCTGGCGACCACTGGTCTACTTTCTGTTTCTACGGATTTGCCTATTTGGACATTTCATATAAAGGGAATCACACAATGTGTGACATTCTGTAACTAGCTTCTTTTACTTAGTGTAGTGTTTTCACAGTTTATTCATGTTATAGCATGTATCACTGCTTCATTCTTTTTTACTGCTGAATAATATTTATCTTTTAAACATTCTTTAATACTGACTTTCAAATATTTTTATTCCTCAACCTATCTCTTCTCTCCAGACACATTCATGCTTATTCACATTTCCTTGGTTCAAAAAATCACAAATGAACAGTTTAACCACCAAAGTCAATAATGACTGTACTGGGTTATAATTCACAGAATAAGATAAATACCCATGAGTCCATATTGATATAAATAATTGAGTACGTAAATGAAGAAGAGACAGCTTTTCCTTATAGAACTCCAATTAATAAACACAGAAAGGGGAAACAGAAAATTAGCATCAGGAAAACACCACAATAAAAGTGGCTGTACACAAGGTGCAGTGGATGCTAAAACTAATGGGCAAAAGTATAAGTAGAAACAGGGTATTTGCAGAGTTTCAAAGTATGTCCCCAAGGTATTTATTCATTACAATGGGAAAAATAAAACTTTACAGTGCTGAAATCTAGCCGACACCACCTTAACCAAGTGATCAAGGTCAGCACTCCCAGTGGTCAGACCACTGGGACCATCACATATCCTACCAGGAGGCATCAAGAAGGGAACAAGCGCATCGTTTCTGTGGGTCTCTTGCCAAAAATGCACAACCTCCTTCTAATCATGAGGAAAACAGTGTCTACGCCCATGTTAGAGGACTGTCTCCAAACTACCTGAACAGGATTCTTTAAAAGTGTTAATTAAGGTCATGAAAGACAAGGAGAGCCTGAGGAACTGTTACAAATTCGAGAATTCTAAGGGGAAAACACAAAATACAACTGGATCAGCTCCTGGATCAGAAAAGATGACATTCGTTGAAAAGCTAGCAAAATTCAAGTCTGTAGTTTAGTTATAGCACTGTACCAATTTTAATTTCTGCTCTTGAAAAATATACTACAGGTAGGAAAGATGTTAACATTAAATGAATATATTTTTGTGCCTTTTCCTTAAATCTAGAATTATTTTAAAGTAGAAGTTGGGTTTTTTTAAATCAAAAAAGAACTCTATTTCTGATTGTTCTAAGAAGTACAACAGACATGGAACAGATTCACTTTGTCAGCCTGGGGCGGGGCATGTAAATGTTAGAGTATCTTATTTCCCCAGAGACTCTGGAAATTCAGCAGTAGGGACTTTTCCTTTAAAACAAAAAGTCCACATAATTTTACTTACAGGATCCCTTAAAAACTTTTACATTTTATCAATTATTTAAAAACATATTCTCTCCCTCACTGGGGACTATGTATTATCTCTGAATGACTTTTAGAAGCTTTATAAGAAAGATAGACACACATGGACCTAAGAGCCCTGTAATTCCTTCAAAGCTACAGTTTGACTTGATTATTTGTATAAGTTGGGCTTGATCAAGATAAAGGGTAAATTATCAATAAATAAAATGTTACCATATGCTTCTTTGAATAAAGGAGAAATGGTAATTATCTACCAGGTCTTTTCTAAAATACTCGTATATAATAAAATTATTTTTAAACCAAATGAATCTTAGTAACCAAAATAATGACTTTTCTATGGAAATCTCATAAAAGGAAGGGAAAAGAGTACAAAAGTGATAAGGAAAAAGCATATGTAATAATTCAATAGGTAAATGCTTAAAAGAAAACTAATTATATTACTTTGACAATATACAGAATGGTAATACTCTAAAGTTTATCATGCATTCTTACTTGAAATTTACCCGTTATAAGTCAAGAACAGATAATTTCAGCATACATCACAATTTATTAAAAAAAAAATTTTCTAACACAGAGAACTGAATGCAGAAGATGTTAGTTTGTTAAAAACGGTTAAATATAAATTTCAGAATGCACACAAATCAACATTTTTCCAGGCAAAAGTAAAGCTAACAAAACAGACTGAAATTACCTTGATGCAACTGTATGATTTTATACTGTAAGTGGATTAAAACTACACGTTCAAACATTATCTATCATCTTTGGTAAATTCATTAAATAAGCTTAGAACAGATTAGCCAGAAATTAGTGCCATGCAAAGACTAAAAGCAGCTATTATATTATAATAAACCCAAGGCATGGAAATGAGCACAGATTTATAAACAGCCCAGCATGAAGTTGCCAGTAATTGCTTCTAACGGTCTAATAAGAAAAGTAAGATTTCACTGAAAGTCTCTGTACCTGTCTCTGTTTGCTAAACCCAGAGTCACACGGCTTCAAGGAAGGAATAAAACAGAGTGAAGGACACAAGCTTCAAGTAAACCATCAAGTACACATATGCATAAACATAGGCAGCACTTTTGTCATTCCTTTTATTTTCCCATAACTTTAAACCAACCACCTCTACAGCAACACCAAGCAAGGACAGTCACACGCACGCACGCGCACACACACACACACACACACACACACACACATACACACACACACACGCGCGCGCGCACGCGCACACACAGAGTAGTTTCATGTCATTAACATGTGCTTGGTAATTTTAAAACACTACTCTCAAAATTTATATTCTATTAAAAGAATCCTTGGCCATACATTCATCAAGAAAACCCGGTAAATCAATTTTGTTATGAAAAGTCAAAATCCTACTACATACAAGTTTAAAATTGTTCAATATTCTAATTTAAAACTTGCAACTATTTACTGAAGACCAATTTAATAATAAGATCTAAACATCTGGAATTATGCGATCACTTCATACAATAAAATACTCTCTAGCTACATTACAGTTAATGTTCAGAAACATACTTTCCAATTTTGGGTTTTGTTTCTTGGGCATGAGGCACATGATATACGCACTAAAGAATACCGTTTCAAAAGAAAGGGCTTAAGAGCCTCACAGCTCAAGAAATCACGTAATGTAATGATGAAACATCTGCATACTACGATTAACATAACTATTCTGGTGATGTAGATTTTTGAAAGCTCGTTCAAAGCAGACACACTGCCATTAATTACTTTTCTGTGTCTACTGGGTAGATGGTAAATATTCCTAAAATAGTTAAAATAATCTAGAGATGACTGACAATACTGATGCAAAATTAATTTCCTACACTGCTTTAGTACGAGAAAGGGCAGGGTCTTTGCGAGCCTAATGTCAGATGTTTTTCTTTTGACATACTCATTATCTGGAGTACTTCATGGGAACCTTGTTTTCTAGTTTAAGTGTCCACCTTATTATAAGGAGGCTTTTAGGAAGTTACTATGTATATCTGTGGAGACTTGAAAAAATATCCAAAAAAAAAGAGTGCTAATGAAATTACACTATAAGAGACCCAAAACATAAAAGATAGCTATTGTTAACCTAGTTGGAAAACATAACTCTTCAAACTACATAAGAAATAATTAGGTCAAAGTTCACAGAAGAGCTTAATGCCATGTTTTAAGGGCAAAGTTTTAAAAACCACAAGTACTAAACAATTGCAGTGAATATGATTTTGTTTTTTAACTTTTAACTGTACTCTAGGATTTCAATCGTATCATTACTACAATATCGTACTGCTTTGAAAGTATCTCATTTGAAAGTAAAATCAATTTAGTTGTGGTTTATTAATTATTCAGAAAAAAAGTTTTCTTCGAGTGCAAGTCTGGCACAAGGACTTAGCAGCAGGAAGTGAATGCAATTTTTTATTATATTATTAAAGAAAAAATAAGCTAATTCTTTTCCAATCTGAAACAGAATAATAAAAACACACTTCTGAAATACTTTAGAAAGTGTGACTGAGCTACCCAGAAGTTGCTGAGAGCTGACAGGGAGGGCCCATCCGGAGCTGCACTCTGAACAAACCTGACCCCGCCCACGCCTTACCCACAGCATCTTTAACTTTCTCGTCCAAGTCTGCTGCTCCTCAACAATGAGAAACAGCTTGATTTGGACATATACTCATTTGAAAATGGGTTATTAAGTTCTAAACCAGTGGTGGAAATAAAAATTATCTACAGCTGAGCCCATCTTTTTTTATTTTTTATTTGGTCACTCCACTTAATGGGTCCAGTTTAATGAAAACCAAGATCTTCATTTTAATACCTTTATTAATTCAGTAGTTTTCATCAATCTCTAAAAGCAAAAGTGACAGCACCCTGGAAATCAGGATACCATTTAACACTGCCTTTGCAAGTCTAAAGTTCTTTACAATTTTCCTTTGTGCTAATTAGTTATTCGCATGCCTTTCAATGAGGTATAAAATTGATCTAAATAAAGCTGTCTAAAGATATCAAGTCAACCCCGTGGCAGAAAAGGCCCAGAAAGAATGACTTCATGCAACCTGTAACTGCCCCATGACAGCCTTCAAATCCATCAAGCTCAATGAGGGCAGAATTTTCACCAGTACTGTTCACAGCCACATCCCACTAGAACAGTGCCTGGCAGATGCTCAGGACATTTGTTGAGCCAGTCAAGGATCACCCAGGATCTGTAGTACTCAATGCTAAGTAATTCCAGGAAGGATGGAAGGATCAAGAAATGCTCTACCACTCCTCCTCTGGAGAAAATGCTTTTCAGTGAAACAGGCACCACCATAAGCAGCACCCTTAAGTAAAAACAGACTACGATACTCATAGCAGCAGCTCTCTGAAAGACCAAAGCAAAATGCCACTGAGGAGACCTGGCTGGAGACAGGCCCCCTATAGAGGTTCCTTCCTGTCATGGTCACAGACCCATCTGATGCCACTACTTCCTAGTAGGAACCTGACTGAAAGAAAGCACCAAGGAAAATTCCCCTGGAAAGCTTTCAAAATGTTAAAGCTTTTGGAGCATTCAAATAACCAAGGAGTCTTTCAAATTCTAAGAAAACAAATCGACTGACACCTTTCAGCCTGAGAAGCATCAACAGATAAAAGACCTAGTTAATCTAAACTGATTGGAGTACTTGTACTGAGACAAAGGTTTTTTAACATGAAATAGTTGTAGTTTCTGCATCTTTAAAGCTTCATGGAATTTAGCCTTTGGGGTACTACTACTAATAATAATTATTAAGTACAGTAAAACCTTGGATTGCGAGTGACTCGGTTTGTGAGTGTTCCGCAAGACAAGCAAACATTTCTATTAGGTTGGTGCAAAAGTAACAGCAGTTTTTACCATTACTTGTAAAGGCAAAAACCGCAATTACTTTTGCACCAAAATAATAATACATTTTTTTAACTTGGTAAACGAGTGATGTCTTGCAATATGAGTAGTTTGTTTCCAGAACGAATTATGCTCGCAAACCGAGGTATTACTGTCCTTAAAGTACGCTCAGGCTGAGTCATCCTTAAATCAGACCTTTGAGGTAGGTTTGCTTTTCCCAGATAAGGACGCTGAGTGTCTGAGAGGTTAAGTGACTTGTCCAAGGCCAAGAGCTAATCACAGGGTCTGTTTAACCTGAAAGACCAAATACACAACTAAGTCACCGTGAGTGTTGACAGGTCAGGTCCACATCAGGTGCTCCCCCTCCTGCACAACTCAGCTATGTCTCAAAGACGGAGCCCCGAATACTCTTCTGTGCCGTGGAGCTGGACTTGACCATGGGTACAAGGGCTCTCTGATGACCCTCGAGAGGGAAGGCAAGTCCAAGGTGCGGGCCAGAGTTCGTTTTTTTACTGGTTTTATAAACTGGAGCTCTGATGGAGATTTTATTTCTAAAAGAAGCTTCCCTACTTTAAAAGTTTGAAAAACACTGGTCCTTTCTAGCTCTATTATTCTGGGGAGCATATTTTGGGTCCAATGTTAATTTTTGCCCTAGTTTTACAAGACTTGGCATATATTTTCTCTTATTATAAAGTTACAGGCAGAAAGCTAGCATAGAGGCTTTTGTTTTACATCTTCAACTTTGTGAAACACTTGGATATAGCTATAATTTATCTGCTAAGTCCTTGGCTGGCCTTCACAAGCTACAATCATTATAATGCTCCTTAATGTGAGAAAACTCAATTATTTTCATGAGGATCTGCTTTATAAAGATTTATCATAAATTGCTTGTGGTAAAAAACAAAAAAGATGAGACCACCTTTACGGAGAAGACCATAATTGGTTAACTCTTTATGGTCTGTTTGATTTTTTTTTAACTCATTATTCTGAATCTATAAGGATGATTTGCCCAAAAACGTTGTGTAGCTCCTGTTATCAAGTCTTCCATATAAGGGGCAGTTGCATGAGCAGAGATGGACTCAATCTGCAGTCCTGTTCTCCTAGAAAGAGTTTTCAACTACAGAACCAGAAAGCCATAGAGGCCATGAGGAGCTACATAATTTTTATGTTAACCATGTCTATGCTCGTTCAGCTATAAAGATCCCAGACAATGTTCCCATCTACAGATACTTCTCCACATTTCCACCACTGCTTTTAATTTGGCTTTGAACTGTCTACTTTTACTAGTGTTCTACGAAACAAACTTCACATGCTATTGTCATTGTTAATTTCTTAAAAGCAAAGAAAGCTCGGTAAGCATCTATTATTCACTAAACAGATCACAAAATTATCTTTTAATATTAAAGGAACAGCAAATAGTATGTTATTTTACTAAACAAAGGCACTAATGTATTTAGAACATCTTTACTCTTTGTTATTGGGCTTCTAAACACACCTCAAGAATTGCATTATTTCCCCTTCCCCAAAAACTTATTTAAAAATTTGCCTAATGCTCCTTCACTGTCCTTGAAAGAAACTACAGACACCTTTTAATTACAAGTGTGTGTTCACATTCTTAAGCATGGGAATAGCTACGATTTCAGCATGTCTGTGTCACAAGGCCACCACATTCTTCACAGTATCTGATTTTCATCTAAAGTTTGCTGAGGAATTTTACCTTAGAGAACTGCATTGCATGCAGGAATCTATGTATTAAGGGTTCCCTGACCAAACTAAAAGTAATTCTTGCATATAGTGGCAATGATCCATGGATTAAAGATTCCTCCATCGCCCAAATAGAGTTATTATGGTTTATTGTTTCTATCATTCGTGGATAACTGAAGGCACTCAAACGATTCAGCTAAAATGTTAATGATTTAAAAAGAATGATCAGCCCCTCAATGAAAAGACCAAAATGGTTCTCGTTCTCTTGCTTCCTAACATGAACTCAAAATTAGCGTTAAAAAACTACTGCCTATCCAAATGTATGTTTTATGTTTAAACATGGATAAACTCAGAATGCAATATTTCATCACATTCATTCCCACTGCTGAGCCACGGTTCAGCATAGCTTTAGATGAAACTGATCATGTTTATATGGACATAACATTCTGTAAATATATCAATAGAAGTTAAAATACAAATGGGTTATTAAATTCCAGTGTTAGAGGAAATGATTTTAAGGCTTATCACATTGAATGTATTTCTTATTAAGTACAAAGTCTCCAATAAAAAATATACAGTGACTTCCTACACGTTTGTAGGTTTAAAGAAACCTACCTTAAGGTGTTTGTGTGGGGGTAGGGCGGGGGGTTTGAATAATTCCCTTTACATGCTCAACTAGCCCTGTGTTTATCTGGAAATTTTATTTTAATCAATATACAGATAAAGAAAAGCAGTACTGTGCTTACACGAAGGCTTCAAAAGCCATGGAAGCCTCGATTAGGGATGAGTCACTAGAGATCGTTTCTGGTCTGCGCCACCTAGCTCATAATGTCTTTTTGTAGTCTCACGGGTGATTTGGGGTATCTTCAAAAATATTCTACATGTAGAGTGCCAGCTGCAGGCTTAAGAAAAATGGGCCAATGTGAAAACAGACCTCAACACTACGGAACAAATACCACCAATCGAATGTTCCTGGAGGCTACTGAAAACACCCCTTCCTTACTAGACAATCAAAAAACCCCATCCCGTGTTATTGAAAAAGGGGAAAAGTAGAAGGAAATAAAGGGTAAACATTAGCTCTTTAATTACTCCATGATCTATAATATTAGTATTCAGTACTCGACGTTAGCTGCCCATCACACCACAGATGCAGTTAGTGAACTGTGGCCATGACAATTAATTAAGACAGTCAGTCGTTACTGCCGCGGAAGCGACGAGACACCCAAACTCCACACCACAAGACTACTCCATTACCCTCGAGGAGTCTGTGGGTGAAGAAAGCCCCTCAGCAGCGTCCTCCTTGATAACCTCCTAACAACACAAAACAAGAGGGTGGGTGAAAGGTGGGGATGAGCCAGACTAGGATGACGAATGAACATGATGTTAAAATAATAACAGAAAACACCGAAACCAGGAGGTGATTAGACTCTTCCTTCAGTGACATTTTAAAACATAAAATATTAATATAAATACCAATTTAAGTACTATAACTTTTGCCTCCTACTTTATAAAAACATATTAATAAGGAATCTTGTTTTGCTAACTAAGTTTATCATCAGGAACACCTGTTAAGCACAGGTGCTTTTTGTTTTGGATTAGATTCAATAGTACATTTGAATAATTTCCTTATCCTATTTAATTTCTGCATTGGATTAAAATGTTCTTTCAATATGTCATCTAATTTTTATCCGACAGAACTAACATGTATATACAGATACCATATACATATATCCTTTAAAAAGATATTAAAATTAGCAGATGTAAAGGTTTAGTTTTAAAAGTCTGGTAACCAACACTACATTATTGGCCAGAAACACTGCTTGTCAACAACTCAACATTAATCCACTGAGGCTGCTAGTCATTTCCCTGCATAGATATTTATGAGAAACGAAAACAAAATACATTTTGTTAGTAATAACTTGTTTCTTAAAACTATTTATAAAGTAAGTTGCACTTTCACTACAGAAAGGAAATAATCAAACTTCTAATGCTCTTTGCATTCCTTATTAGATGAATACTTTAGTTACCCTTTTTTATACTTACTAGGCCATTGCTCTGCTCTCTGGGCAAATTCGATTTTACTGATGGACGTGAGATGAGATGTTGGGAGCCGCCAGGGTAATACCTTGGCGTGTAAAGGTATGGGGCAAAGAATGGCTATGGAAAAAACACGTAACAAAAGAAGGGGATAAACAATCACAGAAATCAAAGTGTAATGAGATTTATCAAATGAAACTAACCAATAAAATGCAACTCCAAACTTTCAATGCAAGTGACAAAATCAAAGGAAAAAAGCCTCACTCATATTCTGTAAGATATCAAACCTGAATTAAAGACGTATTATTTAAATTTTTATATTTTTGATGTAGTAAAAGCTTTTTTTAAAGCAACTAAATTTTATACTTTACAATTTGACACGGGTTTCTGTTTACATTTAACAACTTTACAGCCTATTACCATGTGTCGGGTTCTAAGTGACAAAAATATTAACTCACAATCTCTTTTTTAAAAAAAGGTAGAATGGAATCTTAATTCTATAATGGAATAATAATGGAATATTATTCTTTACAAAAGAAGGTTAGCTTTAAGAAAGACCAAAAAAAGTCTCAATTATACGAGAACACCCTAGCATACATTCCAGGACATCTGTTACTCTCCGTTCATAGAATTTACCTTATATCCTATACCCTAGAGCAGGGGTCGGCAAACTTTTGAGATGGAAGTGCCCATCCTGTCCCTCACAACAATTTAAACATTATTTGAGAGCCATAAAACAAATGAAATCACCATTATGTGAATAATATATTTTAAAAATTTTATAAATGAAACTATGATAGTTTTATTTTCATTTTCAATTTTACTTCAGAGCCACAAGTACATACCCAAAGAGCCACACGTGGCTCGTGAGCCGCAGTTTGCCGATCCCTGCCCTGGAGTTTTACTATATCTTCTAATTCTAAATAAGCAAGCATGTATTTTTTTAATGGGAAATCCACTGTTTAGATACGATTTATAACTATATAGCATTTATTTGTAAAAAGCTTCATATTAACAGGAGCTATCCGATTAGATGGACTAAACATAAAGATTAAAATTTCCCCAAGCTTCTTTGCTTCTTTACACTGAAATAACATCTTCCCCTGCCTTTTTCACTCCTGCCATTTTAAGAAAATTATTCTGCTTTTAATTTCCAGACTAAAAACCTCCAATAACTAGAGCAAAAACAAAACAAAACAAAAAAACCCCAAAAAACTAGACCTAAAAACATGACAGAATTTTAAATGGTTTAAAAATAATAAAATGTTATCAAGGCATCACATGATTGTTTTTTATGTAAAATTAGTGAACACAAACAAGGTCTCAGCCTATATGGTATGATAATTAAAATTTTTTTTTAAAGAAAAAAGAAAAAATCTTCTTGGTCTCAAAAGCTGAACTGTCATGTAATGATCAATTGAGCCATTTTAAGTAAATTACATTACAGCAGATTTGAAGACCGGAAAATAAAAACTTGCATTTCACACTGGCTACCACACAAAGTTTCCAAGGATGGGAGACACTATAAAATGCTATTGTTCCGCATTTTTCTCCTTGTCTGAGTAAAAGAATGGAAAAATATTCATAGGAACTCTATGAATGGTGCAGCTAATGACTTATACGGCCAACATCTTTCAAAAACTGAAGATTTAATTTAAATTCTGGAATTCCTTCTTTACCATATTTATTCTAAACTCTCTTTCTTCCTAGCTCGTATGAAATTTATTTAGGCATGCACTTGGCTTCTATGAATACTAGTCCCTATGTTTTCTTGAATTAGACTAAAGAGGGAAACAACAAAAACAAGGAATTGCATTGGATCTTCGCGTTAGTTCCAGGAAATATAAACTAGTGTTCATGCTCCATTGTCCTATAGGAACTATTTGTGTTAATAAGCATTAAGGGTGTGGACACCTTGGGCCTGCTAAGCTTGATAGGATCTGAACACCACTGATAATTAATTGTGCTTTCATCTTTTCAAATAGAAAATTATCATATTTATACTTAGTGAACAATTATACATGACTGAAGGTAACCTGAAATAAGACTCTAGAAATGGGATATAGTATAATATTATTATCTGGCAATAATATCTGAGTCCTACAGGCAGTATTTTCTCTCATTATCTCACATTTAAAAGTTATAACATGTATTAAACTACTGAACTACTGTAGAAATTTAAGCTTATCATTGCTTTAAATGCCAATATAAATTACTATACAAGATATAACAAATGAAACACTTGTTTATCAACAAATTCCTCTGAATCATAGGACAGTCACTGCTAACCCTGTGGAGTTCACTTTCTTATCGAGATAATAAATAAAAGCAAAAAGCATCGCTAATATTCCGTCTCAACTGATATCTAGAACCCATTAAAATTCAAACTTCTTTTGATTAAAAAAACATTATATATTAAATTCAAACTTAACATTTTTCCTATTTTCAAGCTGAAGTATAGTTTGAAAACAGTAACAGAATCCATAAGCAGAAACTTCTGGTGCTTCCCTGGAACAGGTTCTGAAAATGAGAGAGTCCTCGTATTTCCTTACCCTGTTATAGAACGGATGCTGGGGTCCCGTCATGCCACTGTAATAGCTGCTGTGAGGCTGTGGTGACACAACCCCACCTCCGAACGGCCCGTTGAAGGACGTGGAAGAAGAACAGACAGATGGAGGCTGGCTGTAGCCTGACGGTGGTCGAGGAGGGGCTTCGTGGACAGGGAGCGGGGGGTACGCAAGGCCCCCGATATTGATCTGGTCTCTTGCAGCACGAACATCTGAAAAATTAAATGATCCCCCAGAAGGCACAAGAAAAATAAGACATTAGTGATTAGCCCAGCGACCACTTCCTCCTCTGGTTACTAGAGAGAAACATGATTTTGTCCCTCTTGCCCGGGTTCCAACTGACTTAACGAGGCAGACAGGGCTCCTGACCACTCACGCTTTGCAGAAAAGCTGCTTTCACCAACTGAAAAGGCGCCATCTGGATGCTTCTCTTCAGTTACCAGAAATATAAAATTTTCTCTGACTTTTTAAGGTATTTGTTGGTATCTTCTGTAAATTCTTAATTCATAAAGTGTTACCAACTATTAATGACTCACACTTGCCTAGTGTTAAGAAGTACAAAGTCAGCTAAGGCTGTGGCTGGCAAACAGCAGAACTCACTTGCTTCTGAACAATGACAGCAGCCTTTTAACAGGAGGAGTCGTCTAAGGCTCTCTCCGTAATTCCTGGAAACTCAGAGGTGGCTCAGCAGTGCAGGAATCACACAAAAGACAGCGTGTTCCAGTAAAAGGTGTGTGCATGGTGTGTGTGTGTGTGTGTCTGTGGTGTGTGTGCGCACATGCGCATGTACATACATAGAGGTACCTCAAGCACAACTTAAATTATTCCCCGTACTTCATTACTCTATCCTCAAGTTCCAGTCCACAAATTAAAAGCTAAAATTTAAAAATTAATATAAAGCGTTTACCTCTCTGGATAAAGATCCCTATTAAGAGCAGAAGATTGGTGACAGAAAAATTACAAAGGACTGACATCTTAAAGTGGTGACTATATGTCAAAAGGAATCTAATTCCAAAATAAGGATTCAAGTATGTGGGCTGGGAAACACAATAAAGTGAGTTTAATAATAACATTTTCTTAACACTCCCAAAAGGATGTCAAGACTCCTAAACATTAATTCTCCTGTGTAGTGCTTGGTTTAGTATTTCTTGGTTTTTTCATGGACCAGGAGAAACTTATATAGCTAAGTTAGAAACAGGAAAATTTTTGAGGACTTTAAAGAAGAAAAATTAAATTTACTACTAACACCCACCTGCAATAATTTCCCGTAGTTTGGGGTCGAGGTTTACAGTGCATGGCAAGAAGGTTTTTACATCTCGAGCCACAAGAACTGGGGTCCTTGAAGACAAAAACACTTCAAAATTTCTTATATCTCCATCTATTTCCAGCAGTGGTTCAACATCTTTAGTTGTTGGGATGTTCTTTGATATTCTTCAAACAAGAAACAAATGAAAAGGTCATTAATGTCATTATTAGAAAGGCAAATTCTTTATGTAACTTAAAATTTGTTATTTCTAAAAGTAAATAAAACATTACACAATGCTCTCATTAAAAAATTTTAAAAAAACAAAGAAAAACAAAGCAAGTGGCATAGTTACAAAGTCACTAGGTAACAAGTAAGGTCAGAACTACGTTGCCTTAACCACAGGCAGGGCTTGGGCTAGAAAAACAGAGGGAAAAAGTAACACATATACTGGGTACTGTACGCGTTAATGATTATGTCTCAGCAAAAATTAAATGCGCTGTCATTTTACACATGAGGAGAGTGGGTCTCAGATATCAACTGCCTGCCTAAAGGTCACAAGGGTCAGAAAGAGAAATCTGATTGGTTCTAAAATCACATTTACTATAGAATACCATGGGCCTTGCCTTTGCAAAGAAAACAAGAAAAAAAGAATAATCTTTAAATAAATTACAAAAACTAGACAAAAATTAGCACAGGTTTTTCCTTTTTTTTTAAAAAAGGGTTTATTTTCTATTGTAAAAGTAATATATGCTCATCTATAAGGAAGAGAAATACAGAAAAATAGAGGGGGAAAAACATAATTTCCAACCGGACATAATAGCTACTAATACAGTGCATCACTTAGTATTTTTTTTATTATGCAGAGTTTTTTTTACATAGTTGAGTTTATATATGCAAACAATTTTGTATCAGGCAGAAGTCTTAAATGTAAAAACAAGTAATATTCATTAAAAAATACTTAGTAAACCCTTTTTGTTAAACTATATAAAACTGTCATTTTTATAGGTCGAAATGGGCAAATATTGACAATTCCATATGGTTCAACATACCACATGCCAGGCAATGTACCAATCTGAGGCAATCTGTAAAAACGCATTGCAGAGAAATAAAGAGATAGAAAATATGAAAAAGAGTTAAAAAGACAAGGAGATAGATGAGAAAAGTGGAAATCCCCAAATGTCCACTAACAGATGAAGAGATGGCTAACTTGTGGTTCATCCATATAATGGAATACCACTTAGCAACATGCAGGAGTTAACTTCTACACGCATCAACATGGTCGATCTCATAATAAATTATGTTGCGTGAATGAATACAGCCAATAAAGACTGCACAGTTGCATGTTTTCATTTACATAGAACTAGAAAATGTAAAGCAATCTATGGGGACAGGAAGCAGATCAGGGGGGCATTCCAAAGACACAGGAGGAAACTTTTGGAAACAACAGATGTGTCCACTCTCCTGATAGCAGTGATGATTTTGTGGGTAAATACATATACTAGTATCAAAACTTGTGGAATTGTACAATTTAAACGCGGCAGTTTATTGTATGTCGACTATACCTCATAAAGCTGTTTAAAAATCCCAGTACATTTGGAGATAACTTCAAGACACTCAAACTCCCAATTAATTAATTAATCAATCAAGAATATCAACTGTTAGATTTTACAGACCACAGTGTCAGAGGAGCACTTTCCTCTGACTAAACACTTTTTCAAGCCCTTCCAAAAGTGAAATGGGCTCTTACTCTAATATTAGTTACAGTTACATTATTTCTTTGGGACTAGCACTTTACTGCTAAGACCATTAAAAGCCATCTAAGGGAAAATCCAGAGAACAAAATTAGCCAACCAGAAAAGACTAGGGCGCTGGTGAGAAAGTAAGGATAGCAATTTTGTCTTAATGAGTTTCAGGAAGTCCCTTTTACAGACTCAGGAACACAAGCATGTAGAAAAGCCCTCTGAAGTGGGGTTACTTCTTGATAAGTTAAAACTGGCACTCAAACTGATTGTTTTTAAAATGAAATGGAAAACTTGGAGAATGGTTGCACAGAATAATTTGCAGAAGTGGCCAAAATATCAGAGTTTAACCAGTTAACAAGGTAGTTCATCTATTTCAGGAGCTTAACATAAAATCCTCAGAAGAGAAGCTCCCAAGATTTATATAAAAACACACAACTGACAAGTCACATGAAACAAATTAACTGAATTTTTTTTTTTAAGATTTTTTTTATTTTTTATTTGGTAATTGGGGGGATGGGAACAGTACTGGGGAATTAGGGGAAGGGGAACAGACAAGTTGCTGTCGTTTTGTTCTTCAATCTAGTTGTGGAGGACGCTGCTTCACTGGCCCAAGTTGGCACCATCATTGCGCTCTTCCCTGGCGAGGCAGATCAGTCGCCGGCTTCTGGACGGCCGCTCACTGCGGCTGCTGGCCGCTCACGCTGGCTGCTGGCCGCTCACGCTGGCTGCTGGCTACACACGGTAGCCCATGGCAACCCACTGCCACAGGGACTGCAGCCTACGCCGTCGCCAGCGACTCTCGGCAGCCCAGCTCCAGGTTGAGCTGTTGTTCAGCATCTTAGCTGTAGAGGGCAGTGTCACTGGCCCTCATATGTGGGATCCGAACCGGGGCCCTCTGGCATCCCAAGCGAGTTCTTAACCATCGCGCCACTCGGCCGGCCCACAAATTAACTGAATTTTAATGCCAGCTCTGCTTAAGCTTGAATGTGAACAGCGTTCTCAATATGATAAACAATATGGCTGTTCCCAAGCCAACAGTCTACTGCTGGGTTCCAGACTGAAGTCTCTAGTCTAACCTTTTGAGCTCAGCACATTCAAATTCTACTGAGAGATATTTATGTAAATGATTTCTGGCAGAAAAATAAAGGCACCAAAATCATAGGTGCCTTTATTTTTTTTTCAGATATTTTTCCAAAGGTTAGTATTTAAAGAATTTATGTAACTTCACTTTTCAATTAAGAGTGAATTTAAACTTCCAGTAATATGAATCATGTGAATTCAAGTTGCTAGCAGTTAAATGGCCCACAGAAAACATTATAAAACCTCAGGCATCAATGAGTTCCCAGGAAGTTCAAATGCAATGTCTTTCTGTGCTACCACCTAGCAGTACTTGTTAATGCCAAGTCAAGTGCAAGTTAAAGGCATTTTGATTATATATAAATGACAGTGGTTTATAGAAAGTCCATATTAATTCCTTGGCAGAAATCACACAAGCCATTCACATGATGTCCATTCAAAATGAGGTTTTAAATTACATGGGAAAAATTCTATTTTAAATCAAAACATAAACAGGTTCTAAAAGCATAATTTACAGAGAAAGCATTACTTATCATACTTTATCTAAAAGTAACTGCCTAATAATGTCATTAATTAATCATAAGACATTAACGATTAAATTTTCTTTAACATTTTAAACTGGGAAAACTCTTAACTGCCTCAGAATTTTAGTACCTTGAAACAAATTTAACTTCTAGTAGACTCCCAAATATTTTCTCTCAGTGAATGTCCATTTGTTAAATACTCTAGGCACAGAGAGAGCCCTTGTAAGATTATGGGAGATGGATGGAACACAGAAAACACCTACTCATCACTGTTGCCAAAGGGTGACATGAAAGATAAAATCACATCCACTGATAAGCCCACTACTATTTGTGGGAAGACCACCACGCCCCAGGCAGGAGCTAACCGATGCTCTCCCCCCTTCTGTCTCAAGCCTGTTACACCTGCTCCTCCTGCGTAGCTCAGCTCCATCCCGCCTTCAGGGAGGTCCTCCCTGAGACCAGGCGGTACTCCTCCATGACCAGCCCTCCTAGCACATGTTTTCTGGCAAACCATACTCGTATATCACAACTGAAATGTTATATCCATTAGTGGAATTATTTTAGTAATGTCTACCCCCACCCTAAACTGTAAATTCCATTAAAGCTGGGAGAAGTTTGGTTTTGTTCACCATTGTATCTCCAGCACCTACTCTAGAATACTGTCTTATCACTGTCGCTTAATAAATATTTGTAAGTAAACTACACAAGACAATGTATTGTCCCTAAAGAACTCTATTCTTTCAAAATAATTTTCACTTTAATTATCCTTCCTGATATTGAGGGGAACTTTGTGCTTGGGAAAGAGTAGGACAGTCCATTTGGAGTTCATGTTTGGACGTGATGTGAAATAGGGTCCAACTCCATTCTTCTGCATGTAGTAGAAATCTGGTTGGCGCAGCACTAGCTGTTGAAGACTCGTCTTTCCCCAGCGAATGGACCTGGCTGCCTTCTCCAATGCTCAGTTGGCCATATATGTATGGGTTTATCCTGGACTCTCAATGCTATCCCACTGGTCTATATCCTTATGGGTTTATTTGGGACTCTCAATGCTATCCCCTCGGTTTATATCCTTATGCCAATGTCACATAGTTTTGATTACTGTTGCTTTGTAGTGAGTTTTAAAATGGAGAAGTGTGAGTCCTCCAACATTCTTCTTTTTTGAGATTGTTTTGGCTATTTGGGGTCCCTTGCAATTATATGAATTTGAGGATCAGGTTTGTTTCTGCAAAACAAAAAGGCTATTGGGATTTTGATAGGGAGTACACCGAATCTATTGATCACTTTCGGTGATACTGGCATCTTAATATTTAGCCTTCCTATGAACACAGGATATCTTTCCATCTATTCAGAGCTTCTTTAATTTAGCAATTTCTGTAGTTTGCGGTGTATACATATTTGACGTTGTTGGCTAAATTTTTTTTTATGGATTCTTATGGATTTTCTATATACAGGATCATTCACTTGCTATTAGAGGTAGTTTTACTTTGTCCTTTCCAATTTGGATCCTTTTATTTCTGTTTCTTGTCTAATTGTGCTGGCTGGAACTTCCAGTATAATACGGAAAAGCAGGTGAAAGTGGGTATCTTAAGTCAACTCAGGCTGCTACAACAGAATAAACATTTATTTCTCATAGTTCTTGGAGTCTGGAAGTCTGAGATTAGGGTGCCAGCACAATCTAATTCTGATGAGAACCCTCTTCCTGGGTTGCAGCTAGCTCTCTGGTCCTTCTTAAAGGACACTAAGCCCATCTTGAGGATGCTACCCTTCTGGCCTCATCTAAACCTACTTACCTCCCAAAGGCCTCACCTCCAAATACCACCACAACGGGGGGTAGGGTTT